TTCCTCGTTGTGCAGGATATCTTCATGCACGAGACGGCCGAGATCGCGGATGTCGTGCTCCCGGCCACGACATTCGCCGAAAAGGACGGGACATTTACGAACAGCGAGCGTCGTGTACAGCGCGTTCGGAAGATTATCGAGCCTGTGGGGAGCAGCCGTCCGGACTGGGATATCATCTGCGACCTTGGGCGAAGGCTCAGTGCGAGGAGGCGTCTCGGGCTTGAATCGGAGTTCGAGTACAGCCACCCGTCCCAGATATGGGACGAACTGGCCGGGCTGGCCCCCATCGTTGCGTGCATCACATACGAGCGCCTCGACGCCGAAGGCGGAATCCAGTGGCCATGCCCCACGCCTGACCATCCGGGTACACGATACCTGTACGAGACCGACTTCCCGCGAGGGCCACGGGCGAAGTTCGTGCCGTTCGAGCAAGGGCCTGCGGCAGAGGAGATGCCGTCGGAGCGGTTCCCGCTCATCCTCAACACCGGCAGAGTCTTGTACCACTGGCACGGGGGCACGATAACCACCCGCGCCGAAGGCCTGCTCGCGCGTATGCCGGAACTGCAGATACATATAAGCGCCGAGGACGGCAAGCGGTACGGTGTGGAGGACGGCGAGTGGATTCGTGTCAGATCGCGACGGGGCGATCTGAAGGTCGTGCCCTCTATACCGAGAAGATGCGGCCCGGAGAGGTCTTCGTTCCGTTCGTCAAGCTGAAGGACCACGCGGCAAACTTCCTGACGAACTCGGCGTACGACCCCAACTCGAAGATCCCAGAATACAAGGTCTGTGCCGTCCGCATCGAGCGGCCGGATGCACAAGGTGGTCCCGGGCGCAGACGGACCGAGGCGGGTATCCCCGTAGGGTAGACGTACGCGCATGACCACCATCGGACAGATGCCCAAGCCGGAGGCCGAGAAGTTCCGGGAAGACCGGAAACTGCTGCTCGTTCCCCTGCTTGTCCCGTTTCCCGGCCTGCCGGAAGAGGGTCAGCGCATCCTCGATAGGTACTGGTCGGAGGTCAGGGACAGATCGAGAACATGGAGCGGCGGCTCGGGACGATCAAGCACATCTACCACGAGGCGATTGACGCCAGCGACGATGGGGGTCTCAAGACGCTGGATGACATGAACCCGGCAGTCAGCGGCTTCGTGCGGGCACGTCTGCCGTTCGGGAGCGACGATGGAGGCGACCGAAGACCGCGCCCTGTTAGAAGAGAGCACCGATTGGCAGCGCTGCCTGACCATCGGACTCATGAGCGAAAAGGTCCTCAAGCTGGCATCCGACGGTTACCAGGAGTCCACGAAGCTTCGCTACGAGCACATAGCACGACGGATCGACACGACTCTCGGCGAAAACGAGAGCGGGGCGCTCTTCATCGGGCAGGACCACCGAGTGCAGTTCCCCACCGACGTTCAAGTCTTCTACGTCTCACCGCCGAGCCTCGACGAGTACCGGCGATGGGTGGAAGAGCAGATGCGAATGGCTGCTGATCCGGCCATCGGTGAAGCGGACACCTACACCAATCGCCTTAGCTCTGCTTTAGGCTCCCTAGCCATCCGACAAGATCGTCGATGACCTCTTGCCTGATCTCGTGGGCCATGCCGTCGTATTCGTGATATTCGGGGGCGTAGCCCCACTCTCGAAGGAGGTCACGTGATCCCCTGCCCGCCTCCAGCGTAGGCTATCATATCGTGAGTTCCATGGGCCACGAAGACCGCGTGGTCGCGCCTCTCCGGCAGTCGTGGGACGGATGATGTCCGGCTCCTTCACCATCGCACTAAGCGCGAACAGTCCGGCGAATCTCTGCGGAGCGGGGCAGCCCTATCTGGTATGTCATCATGCCGCCCTGTGAGAAGCCGCCAGGATGAGTTGGTTCTTGCGGACGCGGTAGCGTGCTTCCACCTCTTCGAGGTAGTCCATCAGCTTGTCTTCTGAGGCCAAGGCTTCCTGCGCGTACGAGTCGCCGTAGAAGTTTGCCCACGCGTACCCGGTCTGCCCCGTGCCAAGATCTAACGGCATTGGCGCGTTTGGGCATACGAATAGGTACTCGGTGCGGTTGATCGCGGGGGTCAGACCAGCGAGGTCGGACATGTTCGATCCATAGCCGTGCAGGAGGATGATAAGCGGGTACTCTCGATCGGGGTCATAGTCATCGGGCTCGACGATCAAGCCTCGCAGGCTCCGGCTCTCAAACTGCTTTGCTTCCACGAATCCTCCGAGGTCGTTTCCTGTTTAGCGTGCGTATCCGTGAATGGAACCTTCGTAGGGCTACCAGACGGGTGAGACCTAGATAGGACTGCCACACCATTTTTCCTCGACTTAGCCGCCACCAACCCACTGGATACCGGCCTTCGCCGGTATGACGGGTGATTGATGGTCTCTGACTTGGGCAAATGACGGTCATGAGAAATCGAAAGGGCGGAGTGCGTTCAACGGCCGCGGGCAAGCCGGTCGATGAGGTAGGGCGGCAGGTTGTGCTCGGTCATTCGCTGCTGTGTTGCCGCAATATCGTACTCGGCACGGTAGTGGGTGATCTTTTGCTCGTCAGTATCGTAGAGCGCGTAGCTGGCCGTGGGGAGGCCGTCTCGCGGCTGCGACAGCTGCGGGTGCTATGATTGACCGCTCGCTGTCCGGCAACTGCACGGCAAGCGTCACGACGGGAAGTCGAAGAACAGTGCGCCGTTATCTTCGGGCATACACAGGAATGGGACGTGGGAGTGCCCAACGAGGCACCGTTTCGTGCTGAAGCGTGAGAAGGTGGCCGAGGCCGAGGCTGCGGTGATGACGTATTCCCACACCGGGTCTCTGGGGCTGCCGTGTACAAGGGTGAAGTCGTGGACTTCAAGACGAAGCGGCAAGTCACCAAGAAAGTCGAAATACTCCCCGAGCTCCTCGGTCAGTGCATCAGTCTGTCGTCGCGCGCACGCGGCGGCTGCGGCGTACATGTTGAACTTTTGTAGTCCGAGCATTCCCACCACTGCCAGATCGTGGTTTCCCGCAACACCGATGTGATCGTACTCTCGCAGCAGATCGATACAGGCGGCAGGGTCCGGGCCGTATCCCACAAGATCGCCCAAGAGCCAAATCTGATCGAACCCGTCCATCTCGTTGGCGTGCGCGATCACGCTCTTGAACGCTTGGAGATTCGAGTGCACATCAGAGACTATGAGAGCGCGCAAATATCCGCCTACGGCAAGAGTGCTACTACCATGATACACCGCTGGGAGACTTCGCCGAATGCATGGTGGTCCTCAGGACTCCGGGTCGGGCCGCATGGAGCTGCCGATCCTTTACCATCCGAGGTGCGAACATGCACAGGATGTAAGGTGCATTGTGTCCTCAGCTTCCGGGATTTGGCCCATGACTTCGCGATTCCATTTCCCATCCAAGGCGACCATGCCACAGATGTAAGGTGGCATGGTGTCCTCAGCTTCCGGGTTTGGCCGCATGGACTTCCGATTCCTTTCCCATCCAAGGCGAACATGCCACAGGATGTTTGGTGCTTCCGTGCGTATCTCTGAGTATAATCGAAGGCGGAAGAAAGCACGAAAAGCGATGCCGGTAGTAGTTCTCAATTCTCCATTGGAAGCTCAGATCATCACTGAGGCCGGAAGCGTAAAAACAGATACTAGGAAAGACATCGGCAGAGAATAGGAGCGGAAGATGAACGATAAAAGAGGCGAAAGCACGGGAAAGAAAGTAACTAAAGAACAGGGAAAAGGAACGAGCGCAAGGGTGATATGGGATAGAAGGGCCCCTCAGAGACTCGCAGCCATCTGGCGAATGTGGGCGCTCACGGCGCGGCTGGCGACGTGGGGTCCTTCTGACGGGCGAGCCCCCCCCCCCCTGGTACCGGCCAAGACGTGCCTGACGCAAGGTATCCTGAATGGCCTCGGGTCAGACGACCTAGCTCGAAGTCCCACGTTCGTGCTCATCGCGGAGTACCGGGGGCGGATGGCGATGTACCACATGGACCTGTATCGTGTCGGCTCTATCGAGCAGGCCGAGGAACTCGGAATCGAGGAGTACCTCGACCGGGACGGCCTGACCGTTGTCGAGGGCGGACAACGTGCCGGGCATCTTCCCGACGACTCGCTCCGCATCCACTTGGAACTCGTCTCGGAGTGCGAGCGGCGTCTGAGCTTTAGGGCCGAGCCCGATAGATTAGAGAGCGTGCTTGATGCGGTCAGTCATTTGGGAAGCATTCCACAAGGGTAGGCATGGAACTCTGCATCGACACGTCGACTCGCTACGCTTCGGTAGGTATCTCCGAGAAGGTCGCGAATATTGGCCGAGTTGGCCTGGCGGTCGGAGCGCAACCACTCGGTGGAGCTTGTGCCAGCGCTCCGGCGGGTCATGGAACACGCCGTGCGTATCTGTGGAAGACCTGACGCGGTGTTCGCGGCGCTGGGGCCGGGCGGTTTCAGCGCCCTGCGCGTCGGTCTGTCGGTGGCCAAGTCACTCGCGATGGCGCGCGGAATTCCGCTGGTGGGCGTCAACACGCTGGATATCGAGGCGGCACCGTTTCTCGGCCTCGCAGGCCCACTGTCGGCGGTGATCGGGGCGGGGCGTTCCAAGGTGTACCTTGGCAGGTACGTCAGCCCTTCATCACAGGAGCCGGATTACCGTGTTGTCGAACGGGAATGGTTGGAAGAAACGCTCGATGACGGTACAATCCTGTGCGGCGAGGAGGCTGGAGCCGTGCGGGACCTGATTAGCGCGCGGGTATCCGTCATTGAAACGCCTCCGCCGACCCGGACTGCATCTGCATTAGCCAAGCTCGCATATGATCGCTTCGGGTCTGGCTCCCACGGACGCCCCGACATGCCTGTCAGCCGATATACATGCACAGCGCGCAGTTCGAGAAGGCGAAACAAGCAAGAGAAGAAGAAAGAAATGAGTAGGACACTCGTATTGCTAAAGCCCGACTCGGTACAGCGGCACTCGTGGGCGATCTCATCGCGCGATTTGAGCGGCGCGGTCTCAAGATAGCCGGGATGAAGCTGATGCAGGTCTCTGGTGAACTCGCGCACCGGCACTACGGAGAGCATGAGGGCAAACCCTTCTTCACGGATCTCGTTCAGTTCATCACGTCGGGGCCGATTGTGGCCATGGTCCTAGAGGGCGAGAACGCGGTACAGCTCGTTCGCGCCACGATGGGGAACACCAACCCGACCGAATCCGCTCCCGGCTCAATCCGCGGTGACTACGGCATGACGATAGGGATGAATCTCGTGCACGGGTCGGACTCGGACGAGTCGGCGGAACGCGAGATCGGGCTGTTCTTCTCGGAGGACGAGGTGCTGACCTACGAGCGATGCATCGACTCGTGGGTCATTGAATCCTGACCGTCTCGACGGCTCCTTTCCAGGCGCCTTCGAGCCGGTAGTAGTCGCGGTCCTCGGCACGGAAGATGTGCACGATGACGTCGCTGAAGTCGAGGAGCACCCAGCCGCTGTCCGACGTGCCCTCGCGGTGGTGAAGCCGGGTACCTTTGCGCTGGCTCGCCCCTAAGAGAACGATCTCGTCGACGAGCGTGTTGATCTGTCGAGTAGATTCCGCCGTCATCAGGACGAAGAAGTCGGCGAAGTCGCACACTTCTCGAACGTCCAACATCGAGATGTCGGACGCCATGTGGTCGTCGGCGACTTCTACGGCGAGTCGCGCATATTCGGCCGGTTCGAGGATAGGCACACGGCGAAATAAGGAGGAGAGTACAGAACAGAAAAGGACAGAGCAAAAGGACAAGGAAGTTGCAAATACTTACGCGCCACCTCCGAAGGTAGGTTGGCATTATATGGTCAAGTTTTCTAACGTCAATCGGTGGAGCGTGATACCCTAACGTCGACGCATAAATCATGCTGGCGCGAGTTGCATTTGGACAAGCCGCGATGTTAATTAAAAGACGATCATCATTTTCCGCAAGGGGTCGGACCGCCCTGACGATGGCATCTCCGTGTGCGGTGGATGAGGTGCTCGGCACGGGCGTCGATCTACTCGTCATGGGCATGGGCTATGGCGACGTCTACTTCCATCAAAGTAAGGTCGGGCGGACGATCGGAGAGGAGAAGGACGTCTGGGAAAACTACATCGATTGGCGGATCATGCGGATGGTCGAGGACGCCGCGCAAGATGGGCACCGACCAGATCGAGGAGTCGATCTCGTATGCAGCGCCAACCGGCTGAGCTTCTTCCCAAGCCTGAGGCTGCAGACAAGCAATATCTACCGCACGCAGCGCTGCGGGTGGCTCAGGTGGCATCACGGCTTGGACGTGTGCTTCGGGGGACCGGAGGATAATCCCGATAGGTGGGCATACGACTTCTCTAACGAGTTGGTACACGAGGACAAGCTGGCCCTCATACGGGAGATGGTGGACGACTACGGCGCGGACGGCATCGAGCTGGACTTCATGTTCAGCTCTGTATTTCCGGAAGGCCGAATAGACGGGTCGGGCATACCAATCATGAACGAGTATGTCGCACAAATTCGCCGGACGGTCAATGAGATCGGCCAGCGGCAGGGCCGGGACATCCCCATCATGGCTCGCGTTTTTCACCGGCGGGAAGACAATCTTGGGATCGGACTCGATGTCGAGACGTGGCTCGCGGACGGCAACGTGGACATGGTCGTAGGGCAAGTGCCAGAGTTCCTGATGGACACGGGCCTTCCCGACGGTAAGTGGATGGCCGATGCCGCGAACAAAGCGGGCGCGGCGGCCTACATCCGTCCTCCCGGGCGGTGTACGACGATCGCACCCTCGACCCGCACATCGAGATGTATCGGGCGCTGTCACGAACCATCGAGGACCAAGGATTCGCGGGCCTGTATCTGGGATACCTGCCATGGCCCTTCGACGAGAAGCAGTACCAAGCGCTCCGAGAGGCGGCGCTTCCCCAGTCGATGTCGCGTAGGAACAAGCGGTACGTCCTCCAGCCGAGGGAGTCGCAGGCACCGAGGACCAAGATGGAAGCGCCCCGGCAATTGCCGGTCGACCTCGTCGAGGGTGAGACAGCACAACGTTTCCATACGGATGCGACGACATCGCGCGGCCAGCGAGGACCAGGAGACTCGCGGCGCAGTTGAACCTGCGGTCGCATCTATTGCAGCGAGGACGACAACTTAAGAGCTTCGCCATCACCGTCAACGGGACGACTACTGACGTGGGATGGACGCCGCCGACGATCACCGACGAGCGCAGCCATGACACTGCTCGCGTGCACGCGTACCACCGTGGCGAGATCTACGCTCCGCCGAGCATGTCGGTGCACTGGTTCAGGTGGCGGCTCGACCCGGCACTCGTCGTAACGGAGAGTGCGTGCGTGTAGACGGAGAACGTGATCGAGATCGAGTGCAGGGAGTTCGAAGACGCGCGATTCACACGCAGCTGAATGCGTCGAGGTCGGTGCGTACAAGGAGTTCGAGCGCCCGCAGGGCCTTCAAGTCGTAATCGAGGCCGATGGACGACTAGTAGACCGATATGTCTTTGAAATGACGGGTAGTAATAGGGGGTAGATTTGCGTTCTACAACGACAGGGCGGGTTTCAAACCCGCCCCTACCAGTTCATAGTCTTGTTACCCTTCATTACTAGGATGTTGAACCACTAGCTTGTTGACACAACAACCGCCTAGCACTTCTGTTCGGATGGTGACGCCTCTACTTGCCTGACAGTGAGCACCAGGCCGTCTGGTTTACGATTTTAACCTCCGTCCCCTGCTCTACCGTCGCTCGTCTGATGTAACGGCGGTCCATTCCTCACCGGCGAGGTGACCGTACCTCTGGGAGACAGGGCCGTGGCGGCTATGGCGGTCAGCCCGATGATCGAATCGGGCGTGGAGGTGGTTGTCGTGCCGGTGGTTTGAGATTTCAGGATGTCTCGAAGCACCAGCATCCACAGTGCGAATACGCCAATCGAAATTGCGAGTAGCAAGTAGAGGTTCACGCGAATCGTGGGCGGGTCGAAGGAGGGCGGCTGAATATCGGGACGAGTGAAATCTCCGAACAGAAACAGGCCTCCAAGGAGAAGGCTGATCGCGCCCGCCCCACCGAAATACCCGACTCCCTGCATCTGTGTCTCTACGAACAGCAGCACGGCGGCAAGTGACCAACAGGACGATACCCACCCCACTGACGGGCAGGTTACCGAGCGCCACGATCGCCAAGGCCAACAAGATCACTCCCGTGATGCCGGGAGTAAAGGCAAGTGCGCCGGCGCGACGAATTCCAGCCACAAGGCGAGAAATCCCGCCACCATGAGCATGAAAGCGATGTTGGGATCGGAAATGAAGTCGAGGAAGTGTTCGAGTAAGGTCTTCTCGATTTGAAAGAGGCGAGGTCCCGGGTGCTAAGCGTTCTCTCACGACCATTCAGAGTGACGCTCCATCCATCTATCCGCCAAATGAGATCCTCGACATCCTGTGCAACGATATCGACGACTCCTGCGGCAACTGCCTCTTGCGCGGAGTAGGAGGCAGCATCTTCGACGGTTGCCATAAGCGCGTCCCGGTCTCTGCCGCGACGTTCCGCAATCCTGTCGACCAAGTACTCGATGGCGGGGAAGGCGGAGGAGCGGGGCTCGGGCAGAAGATCATGGCCAGTTCTCCCGGGGAAGGCAGAGCCGATGTTGGTACCCGGCGCCATGGCGGCAAGGTGTCCGGCGGCGGTGACGAAGGTACCTGTCGATGCCGCCCTCGATCCTGCGGGCGATACGAAGACGATCACCGGCACTGGGGAATCGAGTATCGTATCGACCATACGCTCACTCGTCTTCAGAAGACCGCCGGGCGTGTCCAGTTCGACAACGAGCAGGCTCCGCTCCATCTTTCGCGGCCTCTTCGATTGCCCGTGACAGGAACCGTTCGGTCAACGGCATCATGAGACCATCGATCTCGACGTAAAGGGCAGTCCGCTGACGCCGCCATCGCATTGTTGCTGAACGCCCAACGGCGGATCCGGCAACTCCGAGGAACAGGAGGGTTGCGGCAATTGCTCGAATCATCTGGTCACCTCGACCTGCGAGTCATCTGGACACCGGTGAAAGGCTACGCACACAGACAGATTCGGACCGTTTCACTTTTTCTTCGACGAGGCCGTGATTGGCTGCGTAGATCGCGGCTTCGACCCTGTTGGCCGCGCCCGTCTTGGTATATATGTGACTGAGGTGGCGGGTGACGGTGTTGAGGCTGATGAACAGCTCCTCGCCAATCTCAGGGTTGGTCTTCCCCCGTGCCAAGACACGAAGGACCTTCACCTCGCGTCGCGTCAGTCCGTCCGGGTACTCGGCCACGTGAGTCATCTGATCCTTTATCGATTGGAGCAGGTCGGACGACTTGGCAGCGAGGGGCCCCATTCCAAGCTCCTGGGAGATATCGAGAGCCTCATCGAGCAAAGCAAGCGCCTTGTCGGCGTTGGCGGTGATTCGGTTGGGAAGCTTCGATCCGTCGGTGTATCTCCCAGCGAGAACGGCGGCCCAGCTATAGGCGTTCCATGCGTACTCCGGCCGGTAGCCTGCGCGCTGGCAGAGGTGAGCAGCGGCGGCAAAGTGGGAATTGGCCTCATCGAGGCGGCCCGTGAGTCCGGCCAACAGGCCCAAGATACGGTCGACTGCAGTAACTCCGCCGTACACCATGATGCCGGAATGGGGCAGGAGGCGCTCGTAGAGGGTCTCCGCTGCGGGAACGTCCTTTTGAGAGAGAACGGTGAGGGCGCGTCCGGCTCGCGCGGACAGGAGGAGGCCCGGAGTAGCTTCGGGCGAGCCGATCACGCGCTCGGCGGCCAGGCGGCCGATGTCGGAGTGCCCGTCCATGCCGGTGATTTCGGTTATGATCGGCAGGCAGAGCGCGGCGCACGTATTGAGCAGGGTGGGGCCGATTTCTCGGTCCTCGATGGCCTCGATCAGTCGTGCAAAGAACGCGTCACCCTGGTCCTTGATGCCCGCTTCGTACTCCAGGACGGCGCGGAAGGCTAGAAGGCGTCCGTCGCGCGGGGTGACGCGGAGCCCGTAGTCGCTCAGTTCGCGTGCCAAGTCCCAGTCGCCTTCGAGTCGAGCCAGGTCTTCGAGGTTGTCGATAGCGCCTGCAATCCTGTAGCCGTCGCGCAGCTCTCGGCATTGGCGAGGCACGCCTCGGCGTAGTGGCGGGCCCGCACGGGCCGACCGGTAACGAGCAGGATGGTGGCGGCCCAGTTGAGGGCGGTAGCCTCCAAATCGGGCCTGCGGACATGAGCGGCGAGGTCGATGGCGCGGAGGCATTTCTCAAGACCCTGGGTCAACTGGAGGTAGTACCCGTCGACACTGCCCGCATCGGCGGAGGCGTGCACCTCCAAGGCTACGTCACGCTCTCTACGAGCAATTTCGATTGCGCGCAAGTACGCATTGTTGGCCTGCTCGTAGTCGCCTCGCTCAAGCGCAGCTGCCCGAATGTACCTTCCCCACAGCCGTCCCGAACGGTGGGAGTCCGGCCCTGCCAAGTCGAGCGCTCGCGCGATCAGGTGCGTGATGCCGGTAATACCCGTGGTGGCCATGACAGGGTATTCGGCGATCTGCAAGGCCGTTTCCACGTCGCCCGCTTTCTCGTAGTAGTCGAATGCGCGGGTCAGTGTTTCGACGGCGCTCTGCATCTCGTGGCGCTGGGCCGTCGCGACCTGCGCCCTACCCAACCCGAACATGATGGACGCCAACCGGTCGTCCGACTGGGTCTCTCCTTTCGCTCGTTGCGGGCTTGGCCGAAGTATCCGAGCGCCTCCTCGTAGGCGTAGGTGTTCAGCGCCTGCTCACCAGCCAAGATCAGATACTTGACCAGCTTCTCGCTTCCGACGAGTGCCTCAGCCTCCGAATAGTGGCGGACTAGCTCCCCGAGGCGGTCGCCCGCCTCATTTCCGTGCAAGCGCTCCAGGGTCTCGGCGATCCGCGCGTGGAGACGAATCTTGACCGTCGTGGGACAACTCGGCCGCAAGCGCCTGCTGGATGAGCGCATGTACGAACCGGAAGTCTCCATGGCCGTGGTCGATCTCTTCAATGAGTCTGGAGGCGATAGCCTCGTCCACGGCGTCCATGATCTGCCCGGAGTCGCCCGGAAGTCCCATCTCGTCGAACGTCGCAGCGGGCAGGGCCAGGAGCTGTTCGAGGGAGAACTCGCGGCCGATCACCGAGCCGATGGTGAGGACGCGGCTACACACTACGCTCAGGTGGTCGAGACGCCGTCCGATGACCTCGCGGACCCCAGCGGGGACTCGATCACGAAGGACGGTCTCGGCGTCGACTGCGTTGGCATGGAGGACACCCTCCTGCTGCAGGAGCCGGACCAATTCCGTGACGAAGAACGAGTTGCCCTCAGTGTGGAGGTGGATCAACTCGGCGAGGCGGCCCGTGTGCGTGGGCGCCACAGGCCTCAGCAATATAGTCAGCAATGTCGCCGGAGGTCAGGCCTCTTAGTATCAGTCGATCGAAGTGGTCGAGACGGTTGAGATCGCCTAGGGCGTGGATAAGGGGATGGCCTCGGCTGATGTCTTCGTCGCGGTATGTGCCGACGATGAGGATTCGCTGGTCGACGATGGCGTCGCGAGGAAGTTGAGGAGGAGGAGTGAGAAGTATGTGCCCAGTGCAGATGTCGAGCACGATGAGCAGCGGGACGGTGGGCGGAAGCCCTCAGGAAGAAGCTCGAGACCGCATCAAACAGGCGGAAGCGGGCCTGATCCGGGCCCTCACCAAGCCGGACGTCGACGCTGTCCGGCGCGAGATTGCGTACTTCAGGGACAATGTCGGATATCTCGCGGGCACCTTCACGCATCTCCTCCCGGAGCCGGTCGGAGTCGGCGCTCTCGACATAGGAGCGGATGATGGGCTGAACCCATGTCCAGTATGGGGGCGCTCCCGCTTCTTCGTAGCAGCGTCCCCAGAGCACATGGCAGCCGCGTTCCTCGGCATAGGTTTCCAGTTCAGCGGCGGTTCGGGTCTTGCCGATTCCCGGCTCGCCCGCGATCATGACGATACGCCCCGAGCCCTCGCAGTCCGCCGCATCGAGATGTGTAGCGCATTCGCCTCTTGCAAGTTCCCACCGTCGACCGCGACGGGCCACGTCGGGCATCGCGGGGCCTCTCTGCATCTGGTTGGTCACGATAGGCTCCGAGCACCTAGAGTAAGGTGGATGGAGTGTAGCAACCCATCAGGTAGTGGAGGTCAATACGCTGCCTGACACATGCGTAACTTTGTGAGACGCAAAGACGTAATGTTGCCCTTGTTCGGTGATCCCGTCACTTTCACGGTGCGGAACAGATAATGGGCCTTTTGGTGCCGCAATGCCTTTTGGTGCGCCGAAACCAATCCGCCCTCGTCTTTCGGGCGGCTGTATCTGACTGCCGTCAGTGCTTATGGCTAATCACGAGGTGACTGACGCGGGGTCTGACAACGTTACCATAACAACGAAAAAACCTGAATAACTACTTGTGGCTACATTTCGCGACTTTGTTTTCTTATGTAAAGTGTTGTTGTTACGCCTACGCATGCGATTCTACTCGGCGGGAGGGACCTCGGATGAGACTAGTCCGATGAGGTTGCCCTCGATGTCTTTGAAGTGAGCGAAGACGACCATTCCGGGTATGACGGTGACCGGCATGGTCATTCCCAGTCCCCGCCGCGATTTCGCGGCCCCTGTCTGTTGTCGCGGCATGATGGTCCGTCGACCTGGACGTAGAACATGGCCTGGGGGCTGCCATCCATGCTGGAGCCCACACTCCGCCGATGCCTCACCCTGCTCTTCCACGCTCACCAGCCCGTACGGGAAGTCGGGGGACGCTTGGGTGATGTTCCATCGACCAGAGTCGCAGGTAATCCTGCTGGATGCGCCTCTGTGGTCCTTCAAGCATCTCAAGTGTACTAGCAGGTATTCGCCAATTCCTCTTTCTCGCTCTCCTAAATTGCGTTTGCAAACTACGGACCGGCGCGTATCTCTCCCATCGCCGGTATGCGGCCGGCTCCTCGTTTGCAGTATAGGCGTAGTGACGGACGGAGACCTCGCGAACATGTGTCGATCGACAAGAACAACTGTACCGAAAGTCATGTATGGTGTCAAGGCCGGGAGGGAGGATTCGACGAGTTTTGGCGAGTTTTTGTGAAGCGGACATCCGCGAGCGGTTCAGGCGGTCTGCGGTGCGTAGATGACGCGCCCTCCCTCCTCGTCAGAGTGTTTAGTCGGCGTGTCGATAGTGCGTCGGCGGCGCGCTCCGCGGCTCTGGCGGATCAAACGGCGACCCCGGAGGTAGAGAATCAGTGCTTCGCGGTCGGGCAAGTGGACGTAGGGGCCATTCCAAGCGTCTATCTCGATCTCGGCAAATACCGAGCCGACGATCTCGGGAGCGTTCTCGCTGTCGAAGGTCGAGGGCACGCCGTAGCCAGGCAGGACGGACTGCAGCTCCGGGGAGATCGTACATGCTCGGGCGCTGCGCACGCGGCGAACAGCCCGCCGGGCCTGAGCACGCGATGGCACTCTGCGACGGCCCTAACGGGTCTTCGAGGTGGTAGAGCATGTAGAGCGCTGCCGCACCGCCGCGAATGGTTTGATCGGACGAACACGGCGTGGACCCGTGCGCTTCGCCGAGACAACGCGCGCCGGATGCAGCTTTAAGCATCGCCGGCGATGCATCGAGACCTACTACCGGGACACGCCGGTCTCGAAGGAGACCGATCAGTTTGCCCTGTCCACATCCGATATCGAGCACGCGGTCGGCTTGCTCCTTGGCAAAGCGGTCAGCAACGTCTTCGTGGACATCGCCAACAAGCCCGTACTTCCGGCTAGCCAAGGTCGTGGCACGGAAGCGGTCGGGGTCTGAATCGTAGTCGACCGGATCAGGACGGGGCCTGTGTGCTCATCCGTTGGCATTGTCCATCACTTCGACCAGTTCCCGGACGGCATCGGCGGAGCGTTGGAGAGGGCGGCCGATTCGTCGTCGGTGAGGTCGAACTCGATGATCTCTTCCACGCCGTTCGCTCCCAGCTTGACCGGGACTCCGACGAAGAGTCCGTCGATCCGTACTCGCCTTCGAGGTAGGCGGTGCAAGGGAGAGTCTGCTTCTTGTCGAAGAGGATGGCCTCGACCATCTGGACGATGGCGGCAGAGACGGGGCGTAGTAGGCGCTGCCCGTCTTGAGGTAGTTGACGATCTCAGCGCCTCCGTCCTGTGTGCGCTTGACGATGGCGTCGAGGCGACCTTTCGGGATGAGCTTCGAGATGGGTTGGCCGCCCACGATGGTGCTCCCGACGACCGGCACCATGGAGTCGCCGTGTCCGCCGAGCACCCAGGCGTCGATGCTCTCGACGGAGACGTCGAGTCGCTCCATCGCGAGGAAGGTGCGGAATCGCGCGGTGTCCAGAATGTCCGGCATGCCGACGACCCGCTGCTTCGGGAATCCGCTGACCTGGAACGCGCGCTGCGCCATGGCGTCGAGGGGGTTGGTAACGGGCATGAGGACGGTGTCGGGCGATTGTGCCACGACCTCGTTGACGACGCTCGTGACGATCTTCATGTTGGTGAGCAGCAGGTCGTCGCGCGACATGCCCGGCTTGCGGGCGATGCCGGAAGTGATGACGACCACGTCCGAGCCAGCGGTCTCCTCGTAGGTGTTGGCGCCGACAATCGAGGCGTCACTGCCGGAGACGGGGCCCGATTCGAGGATGTCGACGGCCTTGCCCTGCGGCAGGCCATCGACGATGTCCACGAGGACGACATCGGCGTATCCCTTGTCGAAGATTCGCTGGGCGGCAGTCGCTCCGACGTTCCCTGCCCCGACTACCGTTACCTTGCTGCCGTTGTGCATTCGATAACTGCTTCGGTGATGGTTGGTGTTGATCGACGCTGAGGCGTCGTGCCTTGTGTTTCTTCTAGAACGGCTGGGAGAGAACCAGGGACGGGTTTGAAACCCGCCCCTACGACAGGTTAGCCGGGACTAAAACCATGGCAATGATGGTGGGGGGCTTTTGTCAGGTGTGCGCTCTGAAGGGATATTGCAGAGTCATGGCGAAATTGACATGGAGGACGGTCAGGAATCCCCTACCCGTTTTCGAACTCATCGCGGCGGGACCGGGAGAGCGGTTGGGGTCTCGACGGGTGCCATTATAGGTAGTCGCCGAACTCCGATGCTCGTGAGCGCGTGTCGCGGCCCGTCATGACGACCTTCTTCTCGTACATGCCGCAGATGTCGAGGGCGGTGTGGAGTCCCGTGTCCGCAGGTCGCTGTAGCCGATGTGGTCGAGCATCATGGCGCCCGCTCGGACGAGGGAGCTTGGGTCGGCGTTACTGCGCACGGCCCTCGTGACCATCGCGCGCGCGCTGCGTGGATCGCCTCGACATTGAGCACTGCTTGTCCGATGTGCGCTTCCCGCCGTGCCGACGCCACCCTGAATCTCGGCGGCCTCGTCGGTGAGGATGTCCCGTACAGGTTGGGGAGGCGAGCACCTGGAAATCGCTGCGCCGCTTGGGGTCGATGAGCTTGGCGGTCATGATGTCGATGTACCAGCCGTCCCACTCGATGTCGGGGTACTTCTCGCCGATCCTGCGGGCGACATCGAGGAACTTGCCGTCCGTGGTCTTGACGACATTGGCCTTGGTCACGATGGTCACAAGTGTCTTGCCGGTACGCTCGGCGTGGTCGAAGGCCGGCTCGATGATGCGCTCGAGCCCTGGGTCGTGATGACGCGGAAGTCGATGGCGAGGTCGTCGGTGACGTTGATGCCCTGACTGCCGACGGCGTAGAGGTCTTCGGTGTTCTCGCGGAAGAACGTCCAGTCGATGTTCTCGGACGGAATGCGAACGGGCCGGACGTTGGCGAAGAGGTCGAGGGCCTTCCTCATGCTGACGTTAGCCGACTCGATGTTGGGCCAGCCGTCGCCCTTTTCGGGGGTGTGGGTGGGACCTTGAGGCTACGTGGCACTGCTTGATCGCGGCGAGCACGTCGTCGGGGATCGACTGCATCTTGGCGGCGCGGTTCTCGATGGTTAGCCCCTCGATGGTGCGGAACTCGACCTTGCCGTTTTCGACCTCGTCACGGAGGAGTATTCGAGCACGCCGGGTCTCTCGCTGATCGTCGGGCCGATGCCGTCCCCGCCAATCATGCCGATTACGATCGGGCTGATGGCAGAGTAGTCGGTCCATTCGCCTTCACTCTTGAGCCGTTCGACTCGTTCGAGCTGCTGCTGAAGAACGGTGCCGAAATGCTGCTTAGCCGTTCAATTACCTGTTCGGTATCCACGTCTGTTCCCTTCTTCGTTTTCTTTGCTTGTTGGCCTGAGGCTGGTGTGTATTTCTGGGTCGCTTGCCCCTCCACCGAGTATGCGTGGGTCGCAAGGTCTGTTTGTTCACGGGCTGATGATGGCAAGCACGTCCCCTCTTGAGACTTTGGCTCCTATGTCGAACGGGAGCGAGCGCACGGTGCCTGCGACCGGAGCCGGCAGGGAGTTTTGCATTTTCATGGCTTCCAGTATTAGCACAGGCTGTCCCGCGTCGACCATCGCTCCCACTTCGACCTCATGACGGAGGACGAGGCCAGGCATCGGGGCCTCGACGGTCGACTCGCCGGGTCTGACGGTAGCCGGATCGGCGCTGACGGGCGTCGGTTCAGGGGACGCAGACGGTGACGATCCCGCGCTTTGCTGAGGCGGAGGGTCCTGTAGAAACGGGATCGACCTCCACGAAGAAGGCCTCCCCATCGACAAAGACGTTGAAGGCGCGGGCACGGTGGCTCTTTGGGGTGGCCTGTACCTGCGCAGAAGGAGCATCCGGTCGCGCCCCGTCTTCCTGCGGAGCGGCGGGCTTCATGTCATCGGGCATCGGGTCGAGGCCATGCTTGATGCGGACCCATTTCCCACCCGTCTGGGGGTAGAGGGCGTACGTCAGGATGTCGTCGAGGTCGTTGGAGATGTCCTCGATGGCGGCCCTTGCAGCAGGGAGCTCCGGTTCGTCCCAAGACTCGGGGCGTCCGACGATCGGGGTCATGTTCCCGTCGCCTCCAGCCAGCGCCTTCTCTCGAATCTCATCGCTCATGGGACTTGGCGGCTGGCCGTAGAGTCCGAGGGCGTATTCTCTCACGGGCTCGATGACGGTGGCGTAGCGGCCCATAAGGACGTTGGTCACGGACTGCGAGCCGACCATCTGGCTCATCGGGGTTACTAGCGGTGGGTAACCCAAGTCCTTGCGGGTGCGAGGAATCTCTTCGAGAACTTCCGGCAGCTTGTCGAGGGCGTCGGCCTCTCGAAGCTGGGATATGAGATTGCTGGTCATGCCTCCGGGTATCTGGTGACTGAGCACACGGGCGTCGATTACCGAGGTCTTCGGGGTCTCGAGGTATTGGCGATATTTCGGGGTGATCGTCTCAAGGTAGTCGCCGAGTTCGAGCAGCGGCTCAAGGTCGAGGTCGGTAGATCTGTCGGTGCCCTTAAGCGCGGTGATGAGCGGCTCGATAGCCGGCTGCGCTGTGCGGAGGGCGAGGGGCGCGAGGCAGGCATCAACGATGTCCACACCCGCTTCAATGGCCTTCAGGACGGTCATCGAGGCCATGCCCGCTGGTGTAGTGGGTGTGAAGCTGGAGTGGAACGTCGACGACTTCTTTGAGAGCCGTGAAGAGATTGAAGGAGTCGTAGGGGGCGAGGAGTCCGGCCATGTCCTTTACGCAGATGCTGTCGGCTTCGAGGTCGAGAAGCTCCCTCGCCTTGTCGATGTAGTAGTCGAGGTTGTAGATGGGGCCGCCGAGGACGCCCTCCTCGGTGACGGAGTAGCAGATCGTCAGTTGGAGGTGCGCGCCGGAGTCCTTGACGGCGGCGGCGGCCCGTTCGAGGTTCATGGGGTCGTTGAGGGCGTCGAATACCCGGAAGATATCTATGCCCGCCTCCGTGGAACGATGCACGAAGGCGTCCACCACGTCGTCGGAGTAGGGACGGTACCCGACCAGCGCCTGGCCGCGAAGCAGCATTTGCAGGGGTGTGTCGGGTATGAGCTTCTTGAAGGTGCGGAGACGCTCCCAGGGGTCTTCGCCGAGGAATCGCGTCGTTGAGTCGAAGGTCGCGCCGCCCCAGACCTCCATGGAGTGGAAGCCGACGGCGTTCATTCGCTCGGCGATGGGCACCATGTCCTCGGTGCGGAGTCGGGTCGCCATCAGGCTCTGATGGGCGTCACGGAACGTGGTGTCGGTGATCTTGATGGGAGTGGTGGAGGTCATGAGTTAAGGGCGGTGGCGGTCCTAACGGAGGGGTCCGGTCGCGCCTTCAAAACCACGTGCTGTGTTTCCACAGACTCGTCGGATGGAGATTGGTCTCTCTGAGGGTGCGCCACTTGGTCGACTTCCAACGACTCAAAGGGCGGTGTTCTTGTCTAGCGCCGATGCGGCGGGCCTCCTGGTCGAGGTACTCCTGGACGGCGGCCGTTACGGCGGACATCAGCTTGTCGGAACGGTCGGTCACAGGGGGATGCTCCCATGCTTCTTGGGGGGCAGGGTTTCTCGCTTGTTTTCGAGCATTTCGAGGGCATGCACAATCTTGGGCCTGGTATCGGCGGGGTCGATCACGTCGTCGATGAGACCGCGACTCGCTGCAACGTAGGGGTTCATGAACATGCGCTCGTACTCTTCGATAAGTTCGGCGCGCTTGGCGTCGGGCTCGGCGTCCATGCGGATCTGGTCGCGATATACGATGTTGACCGCGCCCTCGGCTCCCATCACGGCGCACTTGACCCGTCGGCCAAGCGTAGTTGACGTCTCCCTTCAGGTTCTTGCTGCTCATGGCGATGTACGCGCGCCGTAGGCCTTGCGGACGAGAGACGCTGTCTTGGGGACGGTGGCCTCGGCGTAGGCGTAGAGGAGCTTGGCGCCGTGCTTTATGATGCCGCCATGCTCCTGTACGGTGCCTGGCATGTATCCGGGAACGTCGATGAACGTGACGAGGGGCACGTTGAAGGCGTCACAGAACCGAATGAACCGGGCGGCCTTCGTGGACGCGTTGATGTCGAGAAGTCCGGCGAGGTGGTCGGGCTGCTGCGCGACGATGCCGACCGGGCGGCCATCGAACCTGGCGAACCCGACGATGATATTGCGGGCGTAGAGCTCGTGCACCTCCATGAAGTCGCCGTCGTCGACTACTTGCAGGATGATGTCCATCATGTCGTATGGCTGGTTCGGATTATCGGGCACGACGTGGAGCAGGCCGCGGTCGCGCCGTTCGGGGTCGTCCTGGGTCCGCTGCTGAGGCGGCTCCTCCATGTTGTTCTGCGGGAGGAAGCTGAGGAGTCGGCGATCTGGTCGAGGCATTCCTGCTCGGACTCCCAGACGAACTGACAGACGCCGCTCTTGGTCGCATGGGCCTCGGCGCCGCCCAACTCGTCGTGGGAGACGACCTCGCCGGTGGCAGCCTTCACCACGTCGGGGCCAGTGATGTAAGCTGTCCGATTCCCCGCACCATCATGATAAAGTCGGTCAAGGCTGGGGAGTAGACCGCTCCGCCGGCGGCGGGGCCGAGCATGGCGGATATTTGGGGCAAAACGCCGGAGTATCTTACGTTTCGCTGGAAGATGGCGCTGTATCCGGCAAGGCTGTCGATGCCCTCCTGGATGCGAGCGCCGCCGGAGTCGATGAGGCCGACGACGGGCGCGCCGCTGTTGGCCGCTAGGTCCATGACCTTGCAGATCTTCTGGGCGACGACCCTCGGACAACGTACCGCCGATTACGGTGAAGTCCTGGGCGTGAGACGAAGACCACACGGCCTGCAATCTTGCCGTAGCCGGTGACGACGGCATCGCCGAGGTACTTGCGATCGGCCATGCGAACTCGGTGCGCGGTGTTCACAAAGGCGTCAAGCTCTTCGAAAGTGCCCTCGTCGAAGAGGAGGTCGATACGCTCGCGGGCCGTGAGCGTTTGCCCTTGGCGTGCTGGGCGTCGATGCGTGACGGGCCTCCGCCTGCCGCGACTTCTCGCTGAGAGCCTCAAGTCTCCTCGCGCATCACGTCGACTTTGCGTTTGAGAACCATGCAGCCGAACCCTGCCTAACCTTGACGAACTTCGAGCAAACGCGCGAGTCCGCCGTCCGCTCGATGGGATACAATGGCCTCAACCCACACTACCAAATCTCCAAGACCCTAGCAAGGATACGAAGGGCTCGGAGAGTAGTCGGCAAGGGCGAGTCTTGTGGACTGATAAGCCCTGTTAGGGGCGTCACGGACTATCGGGGGAAGACGATTCGTCTGGGGCGAGCGGACGTACGTGATGGGCGTTATCAACGTCCACACCCGACTCCTTCTCCAACGACGGGGTGGGCGACGACGTGGACGGGGCAGTTTCGGATGGCGGTGCGATTTCAGGAGGACAGCGCGGACATCATCGACGTGGGCGGCGAGTCGACACGTCCGCCCGGATATACGGCGACAACACGAAGCCGATATCGGCCGATGAGGAGCTGAGCGAGTGCTACCGATGATCGAGGCGATCAAGCGGGAGACCGACCTTCCCGTGAGCATCGACACGTACAAGGCGTCTGTGGCGCTACAGGCCGCGATTTGAGGCTGGTGCGTCGATGATAAACGACGTTTTGGGCGCTACAGAGAGACCGGACATGCCTGATGGTCGGGCCTGAGCGACGTGCCGGTCGTGCTGATGCACAATCAGGTTGGGACTGAGTACGACGACGTGGTGCCCGACGTGATCGAGGGGATGCGGGGTCGGGTCGATGCGGCGGTGAAAGGCGGGGTGCGACCTGAGAATATCATCGTCGATCCGGGTATGGGTTTCGGCAAGACGGCGGAACAGAATCTCGAGATTCTGAGGCGGCTCGGCGAGTTCGATACGCTGGGGCTGCCTCTGCTTGTGGGGATGTCGCGGAAGTCGACGATCGGCTACGTTCTCGGACTACCGGTGGAGGACCGGGTGGAGGGAACGGCGGCCACGGTGGCCCTGTCCATCGCGGGGGGTGCGGATATCGTGCGAGTACACGACGTGAAGGAGATGGCGCGGGTGGCGAGGATGACGGACGCGGTCGTTCGCGGGTGGAGTCAGGACGATGCAGGCTGAGGTGTACCTTGGGCTCGGCTCGAATCTCGGGGACAAGCGTGGGAACATTGAACGGGCGACCGAACGACTGAGTGAGATTTCGACCGGGCTTACCGTATCGAGCATGTACGAGACGGCGCCCGTCGGGGTGACTCTTCAGCCGTCCTTTGTCAACGCAGTCTGCGGGATGTGGACGGAGTTGAGCGTGTTTGAGCTGCTCAACGAGATACGAGAAATCCAGCGCAGGGCAGGTGTGCGTGGCCCGGTGCTGAATGGACCGAGGATGCTGGACATCGATATTTTGCTCTACGGGAGGGTTGTGGTCGAGTTGCCGCACCTGACGGTGCCGCATCCCCGGATGACGAGGCGGGAGTTCGTGCTGCGTCCGCTGGCGGAGATAGCGCCGGGGGTTGTCCATCCGGTGAGCAAGAAGACGGCGTGCGAACTGCTTGCCGACCTCGTTGGGGTGTCACGAAGTGTGGCCCAGACACTCTAGGAACTGAGTCGGACTCCGGCGTCTCGCATCTGTTGGCGGGCGGATACACCGCCCTCGGGGGTCACGGGTCGAGTGGCGTCTTGGATTAGGACAACCTCGAAGCCCTCTTTTCGACCGTCCAGCGCGGTGGCGAGCACACAAACGTCCTCTGCCAGACCGCCGACGAAGACTCGCTCGACACCCTGCTTCTTGAGGTCGGCGGCGAGGCCGGTCTGGTCGAAGGCGGAGTTCTGGTCCTGGTCGAGGCGCACGCCCTTTGTGACGACCACCGCGTCCGCGGGCAGATTGAGGTCGGGGTGGAATCGGGCGCCGTCGCTGTCCTGGATGCAGTGCAGCGGCCAGGGCCTCCGCTCTCGTCGAAGCTCATGTGGCCCCGCGGGTGGTAGTCGCGGGAGGCGTAAATGGGCAGGTCGCCAGCTTGCGCCGCGGCGATCCAGTCATTCAAGACCGGCACCACCTCGTCTCCTCTGTCTATTGGCAGTGCGCCGCCGGGACAGAAGTCGTTCTGGACGTCGACTATGATAAGCGCGTCGCCGGGCCTGAGTTCGTTGGGACTGGCAGTCATGGCATCCCCCTTCAGTTCTCTCCCTATTCTACCCTAACCGGCTCGTGTTTCATGGGACCGTGCGGCGGTCCGGCGCACGACCTCTTGGTGGTAGGCGTTGAGTTTGGCGCTGATTTCGACGGGGTATGGCGGGTCGGCTTCGGGCAGACCGCGGACAGTCTCCGGCAGGCGGCGATCTGCTCAGCTGCGTAAGCGGCGTGATTCGGTGAGGTTGGCGTTGGCGGGACGAGCCTCGCGCCGTCGTCGCATCACGGACCTAAACAGCGGCACGGCCGGCAGGTCTTCCTCGGCGCGTGCTATGGTGTCGCCGTGTCACGGTCTCCGTCGGATCGAGCGGAGACCTGCTTGCGACCGGGGAGGACGGGTTTGTTGGCTGACAGCTTGACCCGTCCGTCGCCCGCGTAGGACGTGAGCTTGTAGACGATATCGAGGTACGGCGCGTCGGCGGAGACGCCCATGGCGGTGCCGACTCCGAAGCCGTCGAGAGGAGCGCCCGACGACAACAGCGCGTCGATCTCGTACTCGTCGAGGCTTCCGCTGGCGATGATCTGGACGCGGGTCGAGTCCGGCCTGATCTAGCGCGGCGCGGACTCGAAGTGAGAGGTCGAGGAGGTCACCGGAATCGAGGCGCACGGCCCTGACCTTGAAGTCGTCGCCTAGCTGCTTTGCCAGCTCAATCACTTATCTCACGCCCGTGAGGGTGTCGTAGGTGTCGATCAGGAGGACGGTGTCAGGGGTAGAGGTTGGCGAAGGCGCGGAAGGCGGCGGCCTCGTCGCCGTGGGCCTGGATGTAGCTGTGTGCCAACGTGCCGGCAACTGGAATGCCGAACTGCTTTCCCGCGAGGACGTTGGAGGTCGCGTTGACGCCGGCGATCCAGAATGCGCGAGCGGCGTTGAGGGCGGCGTCGGTCCCGTGCATCCGTCGCGCGCCGAAGTCGATGACCGAACGGCCCCGGGCAGCCGTGACCACGCGATTGGCCTTCGATGCCAGCATGGTCTGCAACTGGACCTGGTTCATCACGAAGGTCTCAATGACCTGCGCCTCGGGCAAGGGGGCCTCGACCTCTAAGATTGGTTCGTTCGCGAAGACTGGGGTGCCTTCACGGACGGCGTGGACATCGCCCGTGAACCGGAGGTCGGCAAGCCACGCGAGGAAACGGTCGGAGAATATTTCGAGCGAATCGAGGTATGTCAGGTCTTGCACGGTGAAACGGAGTGATTCGAGGTATTCAAGGACGATGTCGAGTCCGCAGGCGATGAGGAAGTTGCGGCGGGGCGGCAAACGGCGGACGAAGAGGCTGAAGACGGCCCGCTCCGTCATGCGCTCCTCAAAGTAGGCCTGGAGCATCGTGAGCTGGTAGAGGTCGGTGAAGAGCGCGAGGCCGCCACCCACGGAGGCTTCGGCGGGACGTTCCTGCCTGGTTATGTCGTCATCCGCACTCATTGATCCGTCAGCCTATGGTCCGGGGCGAGTCGGTTCAGTTCCGCAGTTCGGGCGGGAGCATGTTTGGGGATGGTGTCCTCTATGGGATAGGCCTCGTCGCAGTCGTCGCAGCGGAGGCTTCCGGTCACGATCTCGCCGTCCTCCTCGTGGTCGACGGTGAGGGTAAGCTCGCCCTTGCAGAGGGGGCAGACGAGGATATCGAGCAGGCTGGGCTTCACGGTTTGCAGGACTCCTATTCGGTGCGGAGCTCGATCTCGAAGAGCATGTTGAGCAGGTCGGACAGGAAGAAGATCGCGACTCCGAGGATGACGAGTGTATTGTACCCCGACACGGCGGCGATTATTTTTCCCCACAGGGTGGCAGGAGACGGGGGCCTTTCGTCGACGGCATCGAGGATTCTCGCGTGTCGTCTGCGGTCGCGGACGAGGGCGAACATCCAGAGGGACAGGACGACCTTGATACCGAGGGTCGCGGCGTATGGCAGGCTCGACCTCGGTGAGGCGGTCGAAGGCGAGGATGGCGCCGGTCGCGACGAGGACGATGATGCTGGTGACGACGACGGTGCGGAACTCGACGCCGAGGGCCGCTGAGAGGCGCGGGGAACGTCGGGGACGCGCTTTAGGTCGGGATGAGGACGATGAGGTAGAAGAGGCTCCCGCCGACCCATGCGGCAGCGGCCAGGGCATGAAGCCATCGCACGATGGTGAGAGAATACGTCGCCAAAGTCCAGTGCGGAGCGCCCTTTCTCCCGGCCCCCTCTCTGTATCTCTCACCCGACGGGGGAGAGACCATTTCTATGATGCGGGCAGGATCTCCTCGATGAGCTCGTTGAGCTTTTCCTCGTTGAGGGGGCCGGCCCACTTGCGGACGATGTTGTGGTCGGCGTCGAGGAAGATGGTGGTCGGGAAGGTTTTGACGTCGTACTCGCGGATGACGGTGCCGGACTTGTCGGGGCCGACGGCGTAGGTGAGGCCGAACTCCTCGACGAACTTCTGGCCCTCATCCACGGAGTCGAGGCCGAGCTGCTGGATAGCGACGAAGGCGACCTCGTCCTTGTGTGCCTGGAAGGCGGCCTCGAAGTGGGGCATCTCAAGTCGGCACGGGGGCACGAGGGATACCAGAATTGAGCACGACGGGCTTACCCTCAAAGGTGTTCAGACTGATGGGCTGGTCCTTCTCGAAGTTCTCGTTGCCGAACGCCTCGAAGCTGAAGGATGCGGCGACGTCCGCGCTACCTTCTTCGGATGAATCGCCGTCTCCTCCGCAGGCGGCGGCGAGGATGATGAGAATCGTTGCGGCGACGAGCCAGTGCAGTGTCTTCATGGTCGTTCCCTCCCACATGCTTCTATGGTATTGGATGCAGGGTGTGGAGGGGAAGATGCAGGGGGAGGGATTATGTCCAAATTGAACTACCTAGCATCAGCACACGAATGAGCTTTGCATTTAGAGGCTCCATTCCCATGCAGTCCGTGACTTAATCGTATGGTGGTCCTATAATCGCGTCAATGGTGTATCGCACCTCGCATTTGGCACTCGGAGTAAGACCATGCCGACAAAAAAGCAACAGCACAGCAGAAACATAGATCGGATTGTGAATCGAATCAAGGATTCGGCTGACGCTTCGTTCGACGGCCGATTGGAAAGAGCATTTCTCTTCTGGGCAGTAGATACTTACCTTGACCAAGCTGGCAACCGGCCGACTGGAGATGATCTCCTAGTCAACATAACCGACGGCAAGGATGACCTCGAGCTCGATGCTTACTACATTGACGAAGAAGAACCAACAATATACCTCTTTCAAGCAAAGTTCAGATCGAGCCCTGATAACATAAAGATGAAAGACTTTTTGAGTTTTCTAGATTTTCCAAAGAAGCTAACCACGCCGCAAATCTTAAGTGGCATAACGAATGAGCATATATTGGAATTTGCCCGACCTTTTCGATCATATTTGCTTGAGGGTTACAGACTTGAATTAATATACCTTACCACGCAACGTTCGCCGCAACCTATAGCCGCACGTGCCGGGAAATGGTCGGAAGAATCGTTGCTACTAGAGGTGGGTGGCAGCTTCGTTGACGTAGAGCATATGGCCTTAGTAAGCGATATCGAAGACCTACTGAGAATAATCGATTCTCTTTCTGATCCCAAAGAGATCACTATTGACTTGAAACTTGATAGAACTTCCTTCCACCTTGCATCCGCAGGTGGCTTCAGGTGTCTTGTAGCAACAGTTCCTCTGACTGAGCTGGCTTCAATGTTTGACAGCCATCGATATGCTATCTTCCGGCACAACCCTCGGGGACCCTTGGGCAATGTAGGCGTCAACAAAGAAATCAAAGCAAGTTTGGCCGATGTAACGAAAAGGCCTTTGTTCCATCTGATGAATAATGGTGTTTCTGCTGTATGCTCCGCATTCACCGATCCGGTCGAAGGCGTCAATGGATACTCTAGTGCTGTCCGCGACTTCCAAATCGTCAATGGATGTCAAACTACCTTCAATGTTTGGGACTACTGGAGGAGGGCTGGTGAACTTGGCGATGCGAAGGTGATGTTGAAACTCGTTGAAGGGCCATCTAATCTTAGGCATTGGATTAGTTCTTCCAGCAACAAGCAGTCTCAGATGAAGGATTGGGATTTCTTGTTCGACGATGACAACCAACAAAGACTCCAAAAGGAATTTATGGAACTCAAACCGCCTATATTCTACGAGTTGCGGCGCGGGGAACAAAAATATGTAGCCCAGAATAAAGATAAAAAAGTAGCCATACGCGATATTGCTCAGGCCACATGGGCATTTCTGGGATCGCCAGGGGAAGCAAAGGATAAACTGAGGATCATGCACGCTCAAAGAACAACAAGAATGGGGCATATGGGAGTTGAAGTGTTCCTGTTGGTGTACAGCCGAGTGGTTGAGATTGCCTTGGCTCTGTCTATACACGAGTTCAAGACGAAGTGGAACCAGCACTACATTGAGACCCAGGAGCGAGGCGACTATCGAGAGCATGGACGCCTTCATATATTGTGGCTTATTGGCCGAGGGTTGACACATCAGTATGGCATTGGCAACTACAAGAACGTTTCTCGAACTGAGGCCAATAAGCTCACCGAAAGTATTGACGAATGGTTTCCCCCACTTCACAACCTTGCAGTTGATACAGTTTACGATGTCGTGGACATCAAAGCTGAGGCCGCTAAGGAAAACAAGCAAACCATTTCACTTAGGCAGCTATTTCGGACCTCAGGCGAATATGAATCCTTTGAATCCAGCACGACAAGAAGCTAAGGGAATACTTGAAGACGAAAGGGTAGCGTCTTTAATGTACCCAGTTCGTGGTATCCGTCCGTCACCAGCGAAGTGTAGCATAATCACGTCGCCCTTCCATGGGAGGGCGGCTATCCAACGTCGGATCCTCTCGAAACCGTTTTGGGAGAGCTTGTTTTCCGATTGAAACCTCCGCACCTGTCCATCCATGGTCTCTCTGGTGATCTCGATGAACGTGCTCCCTTCGGCACCGGTGATCCAGTCGGCCTCCTCCGCGATGACGTTGAGGTACCAGAGAAAGTCGTAGGTTGCGCCCACTGGCTGCTCTAGGTAGTTGATGTTCACCACGCCCACGTCTAGTCCCATGTGTCGCCTCCTTGCATAGGAACATATATTCTATTCTATCGGACCATGTCAAGTCCGTGGGGGCGTTAGGCGTCGTCGAGGAGGAGGTGGGCGACGGGACGGTTGAGGGCGTGGGCGTGGGCGTCGAGGGTGCGGAATCGAGGGGAGTAGGAGCCGCTTTCGATGCGAACGAGGGTTACGCGACCGATACCGGCGGCGTTGGCCAGCTGTTGCTGTGTCATGCCTGCCTGTTTGCGGAGATTTCGGACACGTCGTCCCATGTGGCTTCTGCCGCGTGACGCGGCGGCTTCCGATTGCTCCTGATGTGCGGGGTCGCAGTAGTGACGGGCAAAGTCCCAGGGAATGTCGACCGAGTCGCCGTTCGAGGCGCGGAGGATGAGTTCGTGCTGGGTCGGGAGCTCAATGCCTTCAAGCCGCTCTTGGTCGATTCCCCGGATGTCATCGAAGGGGATGACCCCGGAGCGTCCGTCAGCAAAGGTAATCTCGATTCCCTGAGAAAGGACACGAGCGGAATTGATGAGTCAATCGGCGCTTTTGACCACTGACGCTGTTGCTTCCCTCACGCGGTCTCTTCGGAAAAGCGATAGACGGGAGAGGAGTAGGCGGGTTTGCCCTCGGTAGCACGCTCAATGCCTCCGGCGGTCCTTTCGGTGAAGATCTGGTCGCCACAGGTATCGCAGACCAACGCGGGGACATCTTCGACGATTATGAGCCGATCACCGCGGCGGGCAGTGAAGACGACCGGTTTGTCTTGGTAGGCCCCTTCGTGGCATAGGGTGCATTTGCTCATTGGTTTCCTCGCGTGACGGGTGTTGTCCAGAATGGCGCTCTCGGTTCATACACTGTTATAACCAGTACAGGCGATAGCGTGGACGTGATAACTACGTGGAGGTCCCGCCCTGCATCGGTCTGCCCGTACACTAAACAACACGGCCCACGTCTATGTTCGGGGTAGTCCTCAATAATCATACTACTCAGCAGTGCTTGACGCACTTCGTCAACGGAAATAACTTCGGCGATGGCTTCTCTTAGTGCATGGCGTGAAACGTTGATGTCTCTTGTTTGTATCGCCTGCTGAATCTGCTCCCATTTCATCGTGGCTGTCGACTGCGAAGCTCGTCGACGAGGTTGTCGATGGGGACGCGGACTTGTTGCATGGTGTCGCGGTCGCGGATGGTGACGGCCTGGTCGTCGAGGGTGTCGAAGTCGACAGTGACGCAGAGGGGTGTGCCGATCTCGTCCTGGCGACGGTAGCGGCGTCCGATGCTCTGGGCGTCGTCGTACTGGGTGAGGCCGTCGACGACGCCGGACTCGCGGATGAGGTCGTGGACGCGGTGGGCCGTCGGGACGAGGCGCTCGTTGCGGCTGAGCGGGAGGACGGCCACCTTGACGGGCGCGAGGGCGGGATGGAGCTTGAGGAGGACGCGCGTTTCGGTTTTGCCCTTGGCGCTGACGGGTCTCCTCCTCGGTGTAGGCGTCGGCGAGGAAGGTCATGACGGCGCGGTCGACGCCGGCGGACGGCTCGATGACGTAGGGGGTGTAACGCTCTTTCGCCTGCTCGTCGAAGTAGGTGAGGGACTCGCCGCTGGCGTCGGAGTGGGCCTTGAGGTCGAAGTCGGTGCGGTTGGCGATGCCCTGAATCTCGCCCCAGCCCCAGGGGTAGAGGTACTCGATGTCGTAGGTGGCCTTGGCGTAGTGGGCGAGCTCGTCGGACTCGTGGGGGCGGAGTCGCAGGCGGTCGGGGTCGACGCCGAGGCCGGTGTACCACGCCATGCAGTCGTCGATCCACTTCCGTGCCACTCCTCGTCGTCGCCGGGCTTGACGAAGAACTCGATCTCCATGATCTCGAACTCGCGGGTGCGGAAGATGAAGTTGCCGGTGGTGATCTCGTTGCGGAAGGTCTTGCCGATCTGGGCGATGCCGAACGGGAGCTTGCGGCGGGTGGTGTTGAGGACGTTGTCGAAGTTTACGAAGATGCCCTGGGCGGTCTCGGGCCGGAGGTGGACCCTGTTCTCGTCGGACTGGACGGGGCCGACGTGGGTCTCGAACATGAGGTTGAACTGCCGGGCTCGGTGAAGGTGCCGGTCTCGCCGCAGTTGGGACAGGCGTCGCCCTCAAGGTTGTCGGCGCGGAAGCGCTGGCGGCAGCTGCGGCAGTCGACGAGGGGGTCGGTGAAGTTTTCGACGTGGCCGCTGGCGCGCCAGACCTCGGGGTGCATGAGGATGGCGGCGTCGAGGCCGACCATGTCGCGGCGTCCCCATACGAAGGTCTGCCACCAGTGGCGCTTGACGTTGTTCTTGAGCTCGACGCCGAGGGGGCCGTAGTCCCAGGTGCTGGCGAGTCCGCCGTAGATCTCGCTGCTCTGGAAGAGGAAGCTCGCGGCGGCATAGGGAGGTCAGGGTCTGGAGGGTGGTGTGGTTGTCATTGGGTGCCGGAGAAAGTAGTGAGAATTGCGTAGAGAGTAGTATACCCGATGTGGGGCGTGGGGCAGAAAAGGTCGGAGCGAACGGAAGCTACTGTTGTAACTCGGCCAAGGCTTTTTCGACGTCGGCTCGGTTTGCGGAGTCTTCCGTTAGGGTCAGGGCTTTGTTGAGGTCGTCGATTGCGCGGCGGGATTCGTCCCGGGCTCTGTTGACATCGGTCTTGCTAAGGTGGTCGCCCAGGGCTGCGTAGACAAGTCCTCTGCCGAAGTGCGCGGCAAAGGAGGTGGGCACGAGGTCGATGGCCTTGTTGTAGTCGGCAATTGCACGCTGGAAGGCGCCTAACTCTTTGTGGGAATCACCTCTGTTCCTATAGGCAGACACTATGTCGGGACGGAGTTCGAGGGCCTTATCGAAGTCCTCAATTGCCCTGCGGGCTCGCCCAACTCTGCGTATGCCACTCCCCCTGTTCCCGTATACTTCTGCGGCGTTGGGTTCAATCTGAAGCGCTTTGTCGTATCCTCTATCTCCTGTCGGTATTTCTTTGTTCAATATAAGAATACCTTTGTTGATAGAAAGACCTCGCTTCCTGCTGAGGCCAAAAAAGAAAAACAAACAAAAAAAAAAAAAAAATCGCTCGTTGGAGTCATCGCCACAAACGGTGGAAAGCAGGAGGAAGGCACACTCGCATAGAAACGATCAAAAAGAAAGCATGTATGAGACAGACAAAAACACGGATGTCACTGTAAGTTGCTTCTCCAAGGTCTCGACGTGGAGGCGTGCTGCGCGAATGGCGACAGACTCATTCTCCTCTGCTCCGGCGGATGTCGCGGCGCATGAAGAGCCAGAACGCGGCTGCGAGGAGGACGGCGGTGTATACGAGGATGACGAGGAAGGCCTGGAGGGCGTCCGGCGTCTGCTCAACGGGGCGCGCCGTTTGATACTTCCACCTCGACGAATGCACGGCATTACTAGAGGTTTTGACGTTTTGCGATGAGTAGGTAGTCGGTCACATTGGCGAGCGTGTCGATTGAGATTGAGGAGCGGCGAGACTATCGATTCGACGAAGTAGTACCCAATAGATACGGCTACGCCGACGGCAGTGGACGAGGTGAGCACCGTGAGGAAGACGCTGAGGGCTATGAAGTGGACGAGCGAATAGACGATCTTCAGGTACTCTGTAACGATGTCCAGCCACTTGCCCGAGTCGGCCAGTCCGCCCGTCTCGTCCGGTGGGATTACGGCGGCGATTAGGCTGGAGATGACCGCAAAGACGGCCAAGATGATGAGCACGTCGGAACACAGCCTCAGGAGCAGGAGGAGCTTCGCGGAGAGGAGCTGCCAGCGGCCGTGCCTCTGGTGAGGACGTTCCGCAGGGTGCCCCAACCGTACTCGCTCCCCATGACGGAGGCGGCAGGATCATGATGAGGAGGGGCCCAATGGACGAGAACCCCCCAATTGTTCCGGTGATGCTGTCGGGGAGCGTGAATCCCTTGCGGAACTCGTCAGCTGGTTGAGTACTTTCGCAGGCACCACCTTCGTACCATTCATCCACTCGCTTGCGAAAGTCTCGTTGCTGTTCTTCGGTGAGCTGGTTGAATTCCGGCGGCATTCGGTCGTTGGCAATGTCGGCGCAGGACACATCCACCGCTATGATCCGGCCCTCTTCTTCCCATGATTGGCCATAAGTGTTGAAACTGCCGCCAAGGACCTCCTGCACGGTGTCATTATGGTGGGCGGCGTAGTTGGCCCAGATGCCAACCTGGGAGAGGAGCACGGCGATGGCGAGGAGTATCCAGGGCATCCAGCGCGCGCTGGATCTAGAAAATAGTGAAAAAACCACAATAAAACACACAAAATTGTGAGCGGAAAAAAACAAAGGACGTGGGCAAAAAAATCACAGCATGTTTTGGTTCCCTGTTCTAATTGTTGGTAATGCCAAAAAAAAGAAAAGAAACTGCACAAATAATCATATAAATTAACTAGTGAAATAAAACCGACTCAAAAATACAATTGATTCCGGCCCCGTATCAGATTACGGGGCAGGCCCTTCGCCGGAATGACGGTGTGCGGTTGTTGCTATGCATTTTCATTCGGGTTTATACCGCTGTTGTGAAACAACGAAACAAAAAAAAATAGTTACTTCCGGGTTGTTACTCGCCTCGTCGCCGGTGACTTCGAGGAAGTAGCTTTCAAGGACTTTTGCCCGTTGAGATGTGGTGACCTAGCTTTTCGGAGCGCCGAAGTTGTGGACGATCCGCACACTGTTCGCTTGGGAGCGGCTTACTACGACCTCCTCCGTCTTCGACTTACGTCTTTCGTCCACTCCACGCGAGAGAACACCTCTACGCCTTCGTGTTGTCGGTGGTCTTTAGTCGGATCTGGTCTTGAGAACGGAGCAGATCAGCAACGTCGCCCTGGGCGATGAGCTTGCCCTTTGACAGGATGGCCACGCTGTCGCCTCCGGCTCGCCCTCGTGGAGTAGTGTGACTCCCGGACAGGATGACGGTCCTACCCCTACCGGGAAAAAGCCTAGTGCCAAGTCTGCGGATCAGGTCGCGCACGTCGGCCATGCCAGCGGGGTCCATTCCGATATTGGGTCGACCTCAAGTACAGTAGGAAGAGGAGCTCGGGGTCGGTCCGATGAGGGAATAGGCCAGCCGATCCGCTGCTTATCCGAGAGAGTGGTACCTATCCGAGGGTCTCCCTCCCCTGTCCGCGAGACCGACCCTTTCGAGCAGACTGTCGATTTCATCCGACGTTCCCCTTCCCGATATGCCCTGGAAGTAGAGGAGGTTCTGCCGTCCGGTGAGGTAGGGAGGTAGAAGGAAGGAGACTCGATGATCGCGCCGACGCGGTGCAGGGCCTGCTCAAGTCCATCGGAGGAGCCGAAGAGGCTGAAGCCGCCGGACGTGGGGCGCACGAGGCCGAGGAGCATACTCATGGTGGTGGTCTTGGTCCGGAGCAGTTTGGGCCGAACACCGAAATCCAACGAAGACCGTGCCGCGCGAACTGACATCGACAGGCCATCGCCGGACGATGTCCTCCATATGCTTGGTGAGCGAGGTGGTCTCTATGACGTGGCTGCCTGTGGCCATGTTGGTCTCCTGGGAGGGGTTGATTGTGAGAGTGGTCCCTTTGAGTGTGCCTGGACTGGGCTTGTATCACGGGAATTTCGGCATGGTGAGTGAAGCTTTGCTCTTGCGGTTCTATTTGGAATGCTCCGCAGGGGCTCGGTACTTCGAAAACAAATCTCGGAGCACTAACGGTGCCATAGGTAAACGAGCCTTGGCTTCGTTTTCTCACGGTATGGCGGACGTGGTAGGCTAGTGCCGCACGAACCACTGTTCGCGAGGTGACGTATGAAGATCAACGGTATCGAGGCCATCCCCATTCATCCGGCGTTGGCGAAGCGGTACGACAACGCGGCGGGCCGCGGCCGGATGGGCGGGATCGACAGTCGCATTGTGTTCAAGGTGCATACCGACGTGGCATCGTCGGGTACGGCGACTACGATTGGCCGGGGCCTCCCCCACCCGCCTCGATGTACGAGCACCTTATCGACCGCAGCCCGTTCGACTTCATGATGAACGACCTCAACCTGGGCCTCGGCTCTGCGCTCTACGACGCTATGGGCAAGTACCCTGGAGGTGCCGGTTTACAAGTTGCTGGGGGAGAAGGTTCGAGACATGATGACGGTGGCAGCGTGGACGAGGCCGTGTCCGGCGGACGTGTTCGCTCAAGAAGTGCAACGTTCGCGTGATGAAGGGTACATGGTATTCAAGATGCACACCAACGCATCGTATGACCCGCTGGAACAAGCCGCGGCGGCATCGGAACTCGACCTGCCACGCGGATTCAAGATCCACTTCGACTTCAACGGCGGCGGCAGGACGGTTGGGGCCGTCAAACCTCTCATCGCGGAGATGGAGCGCGACTATCCGATCGTGGGGTTCATCGAGGACGCCCTGCCCAGGGCCGACTACGACGGGTGGCGGGAGCTCAGACATCATACGAGTCTTACCATCGTGCATGGGGGCGTACCGATAGGCGGCGGGTACCCGGAGACGGCTCACGGGGTGGCCGACGCCTACATGATGGGGCACTCGGTGGCCGACATCATGACGCGGGGCATACTCGCGTCGAAGGCGAACGCGCAGGTGATCTTGCAGCTCACGGGCGGCACGCTGATGAAGGCGATGACGCTGCATCTGGCGGCGGTGCTGCCCAGCGCCAGCGGCCACTCGATCAATCTCGACGACCAGTACGAGGAGGACATCACGACAGGAGCGCATTCCGGTCAGCGAGGGCCTCTCCCGCGTGCCGGAAGCGCCGGGACTGGGGATCGATGTCGACGAGGAAATGCTGAAGAAGGTGGCGGCGAACAAGCAGATCTTGGGGAACCGCCCAGGATCATCGGCATCCTGAAGCTGCCGGGCGGCACGACGTACCACACGCGCGCAGAAACCCCAATCCGCGCATTATGACCGGAAAGGAAGAGGGGACGATCCGGGGCGTCGACTTCGAGCGCTGGGAGGACGACGGCAGCGAGGAGTTCGAGGCGGCGTACCAGAAGATGAAGGCCGAGTGGGAGGCGAAGGGAGTAAGGGTCACCGACTAGAGTCGCGGGCGACCTTGTGGCTAGATTCGATTGATTCACCGCAGAGATCGCGGAGACCACAGGGAACGGAAGAAAGTAGAAAGTATTGCGTAGTGAGTTTGGGGCGAGTCTGTTGGACGAGGACTTTAGATTCCTCTCTAGGCTCGGAATGACATGTGCCTGAGTTTTGCAAAGGTCTGCTTTCGCGGGGATGACGTACGGGAGCGCGGGAATGGCGGTCTCACAGAGGTCCGGTGTTCCGTCTGACGTATGCAAGTGATTCCAAGCAAATGCTTCTCGCACTCGACATAGGCAACACGAATATCAAGATCGGGGTGTTTGCCGATGATCCCGGTGATGATCCGTACACTTCCGCGGCGGCGTGGCGCATCAACACCGAACGGGGCCGGACGGCGGACGAGTACGGGCTGATGACTTCCAACATGCTTCCGACACGGGGGTTAGACGCGCGCGACGTGACCTCGGTGGCGATGTGCAGCGGGGTGCCGTCTCTGACTTCGGCCTTCGTCGAGGTGAGTGAGACGTACTTCGGGCAGTCGCCTCTGGTGGTTGGCGCGGGCGTCAAGACGGGCATCAGAATCTTGTACGACAATCCGAGGGACGTCGGGGCCGACCGGATCGTGGACGCGGCGGCGGCTCTGAAGCTGTATGGCCGGCCGGCCATCGTCGTGGACTTCGGGACAGGGACGGTGTTCGACGCGAGACCAAGACGCGATATTCGCATAGCTCCTGTATACACGTCGCGGCGGGCGCACTCTACCAGGCGGCGTCACAGCTTCGTCACGTCGAGTTGGAGCGGCCCTCTACGGCAATCGGGCGTAATACCATCCATGCGCTGCAGTCGGGGCTGGTGCTGGGATACTCCGAGATGGTTAAGGGAATGGTCACGCGATTCGACCGCGAGTTGGGCGCGGAGGGTCGAAGGTCATCGCGACGGAGGCCCTGCGCACCTCATCGCCGAGGAGGAGGAAAGGGAAAGGAGGACTGGAGGGAACGGGCACATATCGGACGTGGTGAACGACAATCTGACGATGGCGGGGTTGAAGATCATTCATGAAATGAATGTGCCGGGGCGGTAACACTCGTTTCGCCGGATGTGTGTTGGGTTCTGGGTACTAGGTGCTGGTGGCTGGATTCCCGCGTGCAGTGACCTTTACGAAATTGGGACACAGCCTGTCATCCACTGAAAATAAGCCCCGAGCGGCGCGGTAGACAAAACACCACATTTTTCATCTCCATGGGGCCGTGGCAACCGGCACATGGCTATTGCGATGAAAATAGCCCGGCAACCTGTGTAGGGGCAACCCTTGTGGTTGCCCGTTCCCGGCGCCAACCCGTTTTCATCCCCTTATGTGGCCTTCGCAAGGCCATGGTGATTCCGAGCGTAGCGAGGAATCTAGGGTGTCCTGTCAATGTAGTCGGAACCATTCCCGCTACCCGACCAGTCCTATACGGCGAGGATTTTTGGATTCCTCACTTCGCTGCGCTGCGTTCGGAATGTCTCATAAGGGTTGCCACCCTCATCACCTGGAATGAAGATCGGCGGGCCCCAGTGGCGGGCGCATAGGTCAAGGCCGCAAGGGCGCCGGAATCCAGCCGCGCTCCTCGCGCCAATCGGGGCTAACGTCGGAAAATCGGCCCAGCCAAGCCGCTGATGTCGATGCTCGACTCGCCGTAGAGCACCAGATCGCTGACGACCTTGCCCGTGGCCGGCGAGATGCCGAATCCATGGGCCGACGCGTGACAACACACGTAGTTGCTCGGGCAGTCCAGGATGTCGATGATAGGCAGATAGTCCGGGGCCTGTTCCACCACCCCGGCCCAGCTTCGGATTACCGGTACGTCCGCCACTCCCGGAAGCAACTCTGCGAGTCGCCTGGCGATGTTCCTAATGAGGGGCGTGTTGGGCTTGCTCGGCTCGGTTGTCAGTCCACGTCGGTCCATTCGTGGGCGCCTCCCCCAAAGAGCAGATTGCCCTGGCGGCCTGGCGCCCGTAGAGTCCGTTCCCCACAAGGGCGATCTTGAAGAGCGGCTCTATGCGGTCGCCAGTATCTCAACCCTTGCCGGCGCCACGGGTACGTGAACGCCCACCATCTCCGCCATCAGCGCGGTCTGGGGCCCGGCAGCGGCGACCACCACATCGGCCACGATGGTACCGGCGGTCGTCTCTACCGACGTGACCCTGCCGTCGGCGACCTGGATGCCCGTGACGGCGGTGTTCTGGTAAAGCCTGCCCCCTCTGTCTTGAAAAGCCCACGCAAATGCCTGGACCGACCGTTGGGGATTGGCGTGGCCGGCATTGGGGGAAAACATCCCGCCGAGCGTCCTTTCCGAGAGCCCGGGAATCATGTCCCGAATCTCCCAAGGGTCAAGCAGGTCTACACTTACGCCGTGGCGAAGCGCTTGGTCCCGTTCCGAGAAGAGTTCGCCCATCTCCTCTTCCGACACGGCGACCTGGAGCCTGCCCTGCTGTATGAACTCGGTGGGATAGCCCAACTCATCGTGCAGCGTCTCCCATAGCCTCACAGACTCTACGCCCATCGGTATCAGCGCCGGCTCGTCAATCCGCTCGCTGATCATCCCGCCGTTTCGCCCGGAGGCCTCGCCGCCCACGGTCCCTTTCTCGACTACCACGACATCCTTGCCCGCCCTGGCCAGGAAATAGGCCGAACTCAGGCCAGAAACGCCGCCCCCGATCACTACTATGTCTGCACTGTCAACGGGCATGATGCCTCTCCGTTGGTCCGGTAGTTGCCGCCCCTCTACCCCAGCACCTGATTCGTTGGGCTGAACCACTTGGGCCAGTCCCTGCGCACCTGCTCCGTCTCATCGTGGGGCCACATGACCTCCAGCGGCAGCGGTCGTACAGGCGGGCGGTAAGACATCAAGGGTACTTTTGCTATGTCGGTACCTGATTCTTCGGCCAGCAGCAGAGACACTTGCTCGCGGCAAAGCCGGCCCTGGCAGTGGCCAGTTCCTACCCTTGTCAGGCGTTTGACCTGGTTCGGGTTGACCGGACCGTCTTTCATTTGAGTCCTGAGATTCCGGCGGCTCATTTGCTCCGATTCCCATCCCAGATATCGCGGGGGCTGCAAGCCTATGAGCTCAGCACTGGTAACCTCCTCGCACTGGCAGCGAAGACATCCGGCCCGCCGGCGTTGATAAGGGACTGAAGCCATTTTTTCCAGCCCGTGTGTACCTCAGTCGATGTTGCGGTGACGGCCCCGGCCTGGATGTCAGACCTCAGGGCGAGGGCCTTCGCGGTGTCGATAGCACCCAGCGACTCGGCAGCGGCAACTCCGGCCAGACGACCTTGATTCCGTGCAATCTCGGGGTCCAGGATCATTCCGTCGTGGAAGCCGGCGGTGTCGCCCGCGACGAACACGGTATCGAGGCTGGTCCGCATCCAGTCGTCATGGTCCGGCACGTACCGCCAAGCTCAGACTTGAAGGAAAGGTCGCAGTCCAAGAGGCTGAGGAGCTCTACGTTGGGCACCAGGCCGATAGCGAGGCACACGGTGTCTGCGGCGATACTCTTTTCAGAGCCTTCAACGGGCTCGTTATTGTCGTCGATCGACCAGCAAGACGGACTCGATATCGTCGGCCTTGCCAACGGCCTCTTTAACGGTGTGGGAGGTGTACAGGTCTACGCCTTCGCCCTGCAGCGCCGTTTTGAAAGGCTCGTCGCCGGGCACGGAGGATGAGACGTCCACGATGGCTGCTACCTCGATACCTCTGTCCAGCGCCATCCTGGCGGTGTTGAGGCCCAGGTTGCCGAGCCAAGACACCATGGCGCGCGTCGAGACAAGGGCCTGATACCGACTCATCAGCGAGTGGGCGCCGTTGGCTCCCATTGCGCCCGCCATGTTCGACCCGACAAAGGACATGCCCAAGTCCCGGGAGCCGGCTGCCACGATGAGTCGGTCGTACTTCATCACCCACGACTGCTTGCCGTCGGCCAGGCCGAGCTGCGGGCCGTCGAGGGCCCTACTGGTTTCGGTATTGCGAAAGGCGCCCCACACACACGTCCCAAGCTGGACCTCCACGCCGGCTTCCTCCGCCTCCGCCAGAGCGTCGTTGGCCGCAGCCACCCTCTCCAGCATGAGGGGCTTGTTTCGCAGCGCGTCCATGAACCGTTGGCCGAAGAACTGAGGAACATTCAACCCAACCATGGAGGTCGAGATGGGGTTTTCGTCGATGAGCGTGACCTGCACTCCGGCCTTCGCCGCTTCGATGGCGGCGGCCGTCCCCGATACCCCTGCACCCACAACCACCAGTGGTCTGGATTCCATCTGAGATTCCTCTTGTCGATCCGGAGGCCTGTTCGACGTCACATTGTGCTTGGACATATGTGGGATCTGTCTTGCATAGATATAGCCTACGCGACGTGGTTCGTGTCGCGGTGAGGGGATCCGGTCCGGCAGGGCGCCGTCCAAAGCCTTGATGTAGTCGACGCCGAAGCCACAGCATGTGCCTATGACTTGGGCTCCCATTCCGACCCAGCCAGCGGCCTCCCGCGTCAACTCCCCTGCGGATTCTTCGTTGGAAACGGCGATGTCTGCCAGGTCTCGAGGTAGTCGTCTCTGCCCGCATCCGGATAGGCGACATCGGGCCGGACCATTGGTCGAGGATGACCTGAAGTGCCGCCGTGGTTTCAGGTAACCTGGCGTGGAACACGCCAAGTACGTCGGGCCTCAGCAACGCGATTTCGCCGATGCCTTCGGCCAGAGTCATATCATGGTCGACCGTCCGCCAGGTCGAAGTCCACATCGGCACCCTCCCCAGGCTGCCGCCATAGCGACGCTCGCCATCCATACTCATTCTGACCGTCTGTCCGTCCGGCGCCATTGAGGCCGTAAATGCCACCCACACCGGCAGTCCCGTGGCCATGGCCGCCTCAGTGGACAATCACCCTGGACTCGTTGTCGGCCCACATGTGCTCGATCAATAAAAAGTCCACCCCGGACTCGGCCAGGATATCCGCCTGCTCGTCGGCGTAGACCCTTAACTCCTCCATCGAGAGGCTGGCGCCATAACCGTAGCCGGTGCCGCCCAAGAGTGTCCCGGTCCTTTGGTCGCGAATAGGCATTCGGCACGAGATAGAGCCGGCGATGTACACGGACCTGTCTCCAGCAGCCCGGTCTCTGGCCTCCGCGCCGCGTCTACGGCGCGCACGTTTATCTCCCTTACCAACTCTCCGAACCCGGATGCCTCCAACGCGGGACGCACTGTGTTGAAAGTATTCGTGGTTATGATGTCCGCCCCCGCCCTGATGTAACGCTCGTGCATCTGCCGCACCGTTGTCGAGTGCGTGTAGTTGCCGGGGCCGCACCACGAGGCCGGGTGCATGGGCACGCCCATAGCCTGGGAGCTCAAGTTCGGATGGCCCACCAGGGATGATCACCCACCGTGGTTCAATGCGAGGTCTCAGCTTCTCTAGTTGGGCCACATGACTGTTCCTCCGTTACTGATCAGAACTCTATCCGGCATTCCCCATATCAAGCTGCCTGGGTCCAGACAACGCACGATGCTCTAAAAGAGCATATTAAGTTCTCTCACGAATGCTGTCAACCAATCAATCGAGCCCACAAAACCATCCGGTCGCGTCGTGAACCGGCGTTCACCGAGGAGGCGGAATACGGAGTAGAACGCTACCACCGCGTCATACCCTCATATCACTGTTGCCCTGTAGTCGACGTACGGATCAATCGCAGGGATCGCGGCCCTGGGGGAGGGGCAAGGGGCTAAGGTGTGGCCGTGGAGTTTTCGCTTAATGGACGGGCTGTCTCCCCGCCTTGGGGTTGGGTGCGGGTGTCTTGATTTTTGCCTGCGCGGGGCTTTTGGTGGCTGGGCGGGTTTCGCGTTCGTTTGCTCTTGGGGCTTCTCTTGTGCACTACCCCCTGTCTTACTCCTACCTCCCCTGGCTCCCGTCCATTCCTGTGCGCCGGTGGACGGGCCCGTGGGCGCATTGGGATTGAACGGACTTGTCCCCCGTCGGTAACCAATCTGACCCCAATTCCTCTTCGGGTACGTGCGCCAAGCGAGGAACGAGGTAGATTTGTTAGTCTCCATCTGGTGTGGAGGATACCTGGCGGGCGTCTAGTGGACCCTCACCTCGCGGGCGGCCCAGGGGAAGCCACCCAGCGCAAGTGTCCGGCGGAGTGAGGACGGTGCTCTTGCTGGTCGTGTTCTGCTTTCACAGCGCACCCCGTTCGCGTTGTTTCGCGAGAACGGGCGGACCGCTGGTGGTTGTGAGGCGCAATGCTTGCACCTCCTTGTCCCTCCAACTACCTTTTTGATCGCTACGAAAGAGCTAGGCTGGTGCGCGGTAGGTGCTAGGGCAGCTTCCTCGGTGATGGCTTTCCTTGCCCGGAGTGCGGCCACCCGTGGCGGAGGGTTAAGTGGGTCTTTGATTCGGTGTGGTAAACCTGCCACCGGTGTTGGCCGGGTGCTCGCAACCTTACGTGCGCTCGCAATTTGTGTGCTTGCTACAGGGTAGCCGTTTATCCGATTGGGTTTCGCCGCGTGGCCAAACCCCCCCTCTCCCTGCTCGTTGTACTTCCATCGCCGTGGTGGTGTGTGGGCGAGCACCACGTCTTGCTCCTCGGCCCGACGTCTCACGGCCAGGCCAGGTCCTTATTGTCTGGCCGCCGTGGGATCTTTCCCCCTCCTGGTTTAGGCTTGTGGCGCTGAGACCTTTTTTCTTCGGCTTTTGTTCTTCCTTTCGTCTTCGTTGTGCTTTTTTTGGCTGATTATCCTCCGTGCGCCCCTGGCCGGTCCGTTGATCCTGTCCACGAGTGGGGGGGCTACGATATGCGCAGGCCGGACAGTGTGATCCGTTTTTCCTTGCGTCGACATTGCCTCGGCCGGGGTGTTGCGTCTAGGGGTCGGACGGGTCGCCTCCACCCGTGGCTGGTGCCTTCGTGGGATCAGTGTACGGGGTTTGGGGTAGGCCGTTCGTTATGGTTTTGCGGGGGGAATGAGCTGGAAGCGGTGGTGGGGTTCGGGCGCGCTTGCATGTTTGAGCGGGGGCCCCTTGGAGTGGCTGTTTTTTTTTTTTGTCGTTTTTTTTTGTGGTTTGGTGGTCTTGTTTGCAGTACTCTGACAGTCCCGCTAAGACCGGGGATGTGACAGATTGTGAAAGGCGAGGGCCAACCGGCGACGATGGTCCTATCGTGTCACCTCCAACTCAAAGGTTCGGAGCATAGTAAAATCATGGGTACCAGACTCCCAACGGGCGCGGTGTTCCGTATCGCTCCTAGTCGGTCACTTAAGAAGGAAGGTGTTCTACAGCGTCCAAAGAATATGACCATAGTCATGACCATGCTATAATAGTGGTCATATATCAGTGAGGGAGCGTGAAATGTCAACGGACAGCGGCATTCCGGCGTCCACGCGGACAATCAAGGCGTCCGAGTTCAAGGCCAAGTGTCTCAAGCTTATGGACGAGGTGGCGGAGAGCGGTGAGGAGATCGTAATCACCAAGCACGGTCGCCCGGTGTCGCGGCTGATGCCCTATAGGGAGAAGCCAAAGAGCTTGTTCGGCAGGGGCAAAGGCATGATCGAGATTCATGGCGACATAGTAGAGCCTCTCGACGTGGAGTGGGAGGCCGAATTGGGTCTCCTGGACGGCAAATAGTGGTTCTGCTGGATACCAATGCGCTGTTGTGGTTCTGGTCCGGTGACACCAGACTCGGGCGGGATGCAAGACGAACAGTTGAGCGCACATGGCAACGGGGAGAGGCGGCCGTATCCGCCATCACATTTTGGGAAGTTGCCATGCTGCACGAAAAGGGCAGGCTCGCGGTGCTGCATGATGTAGCTTCATGGCGTCGTACCCTACTTGAGGAAGGTCTCGTAGAGATTGCCGTGGACGGCGAAATCGGAATCGGGCGAGCGAGTTGCCGGGATTTCACGGAGACCCTGCAGACCGTCTAATCGTTGCCACTGCGTTGGATGGGCATCGGTTGGTGACTTCCGATCGGCGGAGGCGGGAGATTGAGAGTGGCCGCATCTGCGACAAGGTTGGACGCCACACGGAGTAGAGTAAGTAGGGGATGGGCGATCGCAAGTGTCGTCCCTACTATGGGTTGTCCGAGGGCTATTCTTGACTCAATGACGACCAGCTAGTAGCCCAGCTTCTTGTCGCAGACGTAGAGGAACGGTTCGCCGGCCTGGTACCGGCGGAAGTTCTCCTTGAAGACGTTGGCTGGCGTCGAGGTAGAGGACCGGCGTGAACACCGGCCGAGTGCGTGGGGCGTGGACATGACGACGTG